AAAAAAGATACTTTAAACAATAGGAAGTGGCGCAGAAAATGGCCACCGTATACTATGTGTCGTTTTAGCCCTGGTACGAACACTAACCTGCACTATGTTTGTAATTAGATATTAGTTTTACGGAAAATATTTTATTTGGGGTTAGCCTATAACGATAATAAAAATCGATATATAGTATATATTTCATCTTTTTTAATAGATTTAGTTCCGCATAATTATTTGTGCGCACAAAAATAATATAAAAAGAGTGATCGAGATTTTTTTTTTTTTTTTTTTTTTTTTTCTGTTTACTAACGAATAATAATTAATCGTTAAGAAATGCCCAATTACAAAGTTTGTATGTTTATTTTGTAAATTACTTGGAGCATTAATGCTCAGGCTAGCTTGAAGTTCTTGTTGTGATATATTCTGTTTCTAGGTGATATTTCACTTGCCGCCTGGGGCCGAAAAGAAATCGAAATTGCAGAAAATGAAATGCCCGGGTTGATGACATTACGTCAAAAGTATGGTCCTACCAAGCCTTTAACCGGTGCTCGTATTGCAGGCTGTCTTCATATGACAATTCAAACAGCAGTTTTGATTGAAACACTCACTTGTCTTGGTGCTGAAGTTGCTTGGAGTTCTTGTAACATTTATTCAACGCAAGATCAAGCAGCAGCAGCTATTGCAGCAACAGGAGTACCTGTGTTTGCGTGGAAGGGCGAAACTGAGGAAGAATACACTTGGTGCATTGAGCAAACTTTGCATGCATTTAAAGATGGTAAACCTCTTAATATGATCCTTGATGATGGTGGTGATCTAACAGTGTTAGTTCATAAAAAGCATCCTGAACTTTTGAATGGTACTTTTTATCATTAATTTATGTTGATATATTGTCGTAAATAATAAATATGCCGATTTTGATGTTAATTCAATCATAACCAAGGTATAAAGGGCATTTCAGAAGAAACTACGACCGGTGTGCATCATTTATACAAAATGCTCAAGGAAGGAACTTTAAAGGTTCCCGCCATTAATGTAAATGATTCCGTTACAAAATCGAAATTTGACAACCTCTACGGGTGTCGTGAGTCTCTTATTGACGGCATCAAACGAGCAACTGATGTACAAATTGCAGGCAAAGTTGCCGTTGTTGCTGGTTATGGAGATGTCGGTAAGGGTTGTTCTGCAGCCCTTCGTGGTATGGGAGCCCGCGTTATCATAACTGAGATTGATCCTATCAATGCTCTTCAAGCAGCTATGGAAGGTAGAGTTATTATACTATATTTATAGGTAATATTTGTTTGTAAAATCAAGAAACTGATATGCAATTTAACATATGCAATTTAACAGGTTTCGAGGTGACAACTATGGAGGAAGCATGTTCGAAAGGAAATATTTTCGTAACAGCTACTGGCAACCGCGATATTATCTTAGGTAGACATTTTGAACAAATGAAGGATGATGCAATTATTTGCAAGTAAGTACCTAAAAAACCATATACATCTATAATTTAATATATTCCTTTTCTAAAAGTGAATTATTTGAAATTTTGAGTAGCATTGGGCATTTTGATGTCGAAATTGACGTCGCTTGGCTCAAGCAAAATGCTATTACTCATGTGAATATTAAGCCTCAAGTTGATCGTTATACAATGAAAAATGGTCGACGTATAATCCTTCTTGCTGATGGAAGATTGGTTAATCTTGGTTGTGCTACTGGGCATCCGAGTTTTGTAATGAGTAATTCATTCACAAATCAAGCACTCGCCCAAATTGCACTCTGGACAGATACTTCATCCTATCCGCTTGGTGTTCACATGTTACCAAAGAAACTTGATGAAGAGGTTGCAGCAGCTCATCTTGAAAAGCTGGGCGTAAAACTTACCAAACTTACTCCAATTCAATCTGAGTACTTGAGCATTAATCAAGACGGTCCATTTAAGTCAGAGCATTATCGGTATGCATATGTTTATCTTTATTAATTTATCTTTAATGAAATATAATTAACAACTATTCAAACTTTCAGCTACTAAATATAGCAAAAAGGAATATGATTTTTTGTAATGATTAATTTAAAAATAATAAAGAATTGAATAGTTAAAAATTCCATAGATCATGCTGTTCGGAGTGAATTATAATGATAACCCAATCCATACATATGGAGATGAAATCTTTTTTCATGTTAAGGAGTTAAATTATAATGTTTGTTCTATTGAATATTTAAAGTTATTAAAAGGATACGATAAGAATATTGGGTCCTTGTCAGGAAATATATCATCAGACATTTTTAAAATTGGCGAGTTCATTTGTACGATATGTATAGGGACCTTGTAAACTCTCGAGATTGCGATTATCTACATTGGAAGATATATAATTTAGGAGATCTCAACGACAAAAACAATTGTTATAAGAACAATCAGCATACCTCTAGTTCTCCACCCCACACCGCAGTGTTTTCCAAATCATCACAATATTTTTGAAATTGTTCTGAAATTATATTCAGTTAGGAATGGATATTTTATCTAACAAATGGTTTAATTGATAACCAATTATATGCAAACACAATCTCTACCCAAACTATACATTTCCCCATCTTTCGCGTTAGATAAAAACGGTAGGAAATCATCAGGGTGTTGTCGCATATACATTGCAGCTTCATGTCTCATTTCTCGATAATCCACCTAAATTGCATAAACGAGAATAAATAATTGACGAAAACCCTCAATCTTGGTTTCGGAAATTTCATACCATAGGATACGGGCTTATCAGACCCTGAAGAATGTGAACTAATTGTAGGTGAAATAATAATATGGTCCAGTTTCACTCATATACAATCACATGATTGGATCCTTCAGGGATGGTAAGCTCGTGTCCTGTAAAGTGAAATTTCCGAAAATGAAGAATTACGATTTTTCGCTTTGCGGCACTCATATATAAAATACTTCGTACCAAAATATTATGCCTTAATCGCAGCTGATCCGATATGGCATTATAAAGACTGAATTGTCAAATACACAAAAAAAGTAAGGTCACAGCATGTTGGTTAAGCGCAAATTGATGCTATTGCTATTCCAAGAGCTCACCAATGACCATTTGCTGGTATCTAATAAATGATCATTGGTTTTTCAATATATGATGTATGAAAGACGTGTATCAACGTATTCTAATATCAAAGATAAATGTCTTATTGCATCACCTCCTCTACAACTAATCCCATGGGCTTAATTAATTCTGTAATTGCATTGCTTTCAACCTCGTTCATATTAATTTGGTTCTTAGCCTCTTCTGCGGCCTCATTCTGTTCCTTGGCAAGCTCAGCCGCTTTGCGTTCCTAAATTCAAAAACTCTTGTTCAGAATTTCAATATTAAATAACTAAATTAAATGGTTTCTACCTTTCGTAATTTATGTCTATTTGGTTTTCTTTGTTTATTTGCTATTCCATTGATTGCGGGTGTATTAGGCTTTTTGTTTTCTTCCTCTTCAATACGCGTCGCCTCTAACCTTGCATACAGTTGATCCACGATATCTACCTCCTCATCAACACTCAACTCATTGCACTGAAAGTAAGTAGGTAATTAAATTAGAACCAGCCGCAGTAATAACAATCGTTATTCAACCCAAAACTACGCTTTTCTTCAAACTTAACGTTGTCTTTTGAAGTAGATTCACCGAAATTATTTGTTTCCTCAATGCTTTCCTTCGCTCTAAGTTCTTGGATCTCTTTTTGTTGTCTTTGATGAAGTTCAGTTTTTAGCCTACTTGATTCAGCCTGAACCTCTCTCTGACGTTTCTTATCACCCTTCGCTACTGTCTTTTTTAGCTTAATAATTTGCGCTTCAAGATCTCTAGATTCTTTTTTATGACGTATAGACAATTCTTCAACAGTTTCCATAATTGCTTCAGGTTTGTTCACTATGTAGCACCCTATATAGATTCTACTCGAACTATTATATTCTGATTGGTTGTAAGATGTCTTATGTAGTAATTATCAATTTTAGGGGCTGGCTAAAGCCAGGTACATCACGGGATTACCCGAGATATAACCCGGATCAGTCCGAACAAAACAAAGCGAAACGGCAAAGACAAAAACACGAAAAATATAAAAAACGGCTATCTAAACCAGTCTTGGTTCACTAAGTAAAA